AGAACTAACTGATACTTTATTACTACTACTATCATCATTATTATTGTCTTTTGATCTCACGATGTAACCCAAACTGACCTTGAACAATCTTCCTGCCTCTTCTTCCCAAGGGCTGGGGTCACAGATTTGCACCACCACGGCTAGATGATTGGTACTCCTAGATCAACCCTATCAAGCCAAGAACGCAGCAGCAGCCTAAGGTAGCGCTTCAGCCAGAGTGTAGAGCTGTTCTCCGTGGCACAAATGCTACTGGGAAGCAGGCATTCGAGGCAAAGGCCTTGGGCATGCATTTAAGCATAGTCCTCTACTGAGAAAGACATAGCTCACCAGAAAGTTGAGTGAGAGGGTGCTGTTTCAGATAAAGGGTAGTGGTCAGTGTTGGTCAAACAGTAGGGATTCAGGGAACATTTATAAAACCGAGTTGTGAAGCTTCCTTTCACTTTTGCCTGCAAAGGAGTCTTTCAACAGGTCCCGCTCTCCCTCCCTCCCTCCTCCACTAGCCACACTGTCATGCGCTACAAGCTCTGTCTAGAATTCTTTAGTCCCTTTTTTCCTGTCACAGAATAAAGTCCAAACTCTAGCCTGACATGGATGTATGGAATGATGAATCTCCTTTCCTCTACCCAGGACAGAATAATAACGCCAACATCATAGAAGTGTAGAAAGGATTGAGTGAATTGAAGGGGCACTGTACTCAACAGCGCCTCTTGGTGGTGAGTCCTCCATACAGGGCAGGTTGGCTTCCTACTGCTCCTGAGGAATTGGTCACAGTCTTTTTCATGGTGGAGTCTTCTTTTACCTGGGACTCTAGCCTTGGGAATACCTGACCCTATCTTGTCTTTAGTCTTCCTTATTCCTTTAGGTTCTGCCAAGCTAGAGGGCTTGTTCTTTTCTCTTAATTCTGAAGACTTTCCAGTCCCGTTCTACAGTCTCAGAATAGGTTATGTAGTCGAATTTCCTACCTAAATGTGGGAAACCATCCACACACTGCCTTCCCGGGGGCCATTAGCTTCTACTTGAGTGCTTTGAATGCTGATGAGCCATACTTAGCCTGCTTGTTCTCATTTTTTTTCAACAGCTCTAATTAAATAATGAAAACATGCAATTATCTTTTTAGTCATGACTGTCTTGCCTTTTTAATAAAAATTTCAGTTCTTTCACAGGAACAAAGTAACTGCTCAAAAGGCATTGATTATATTTATGCCTTAAATTATAATTTCATGACATTAGTAGTTAAACCATTTCTCCCATTTTCTTCTAACTATACCAGTTGTTGGAGGAGATGGCTTGCATTGGAAGGCTCATGATTATTGGATGATGCCTACAGTGAACTTTAACACAAAGACAGTAGAGAAAACCCCCCTGACTGAAGCTGATGCCGCTTGGTATGTCCTCCAACTTTGCTTCGGTCACTTTCTCTTCTCTCTCTCTCTCTCTCTCTCTCTCTCTCTCTCTCTCTCTCTCTCTCTCTCTCTCTCTCTCTCTCTCTGTGTAGCCCTGGCTTCCTGGAACTATGTAGACCAGGCTGGCCTCAAATTCACAGAGACCCACCTGCCTCTGCTTCCTGAGTGCTGGAATTAAAGATATGTGCCACCACACCCAGCTTTAGGTCACTTTTGATTCTTACACATTTGAATTTTCAAAAGGAAAAGCTATATTATAAAACATTTACTATGGTTTGAGGCATCTCTCCAGTCTTTTCATGACTTATATGCAAATATATCCATGTCTGTATGTCTGATTTGGATTTTACATAAATTGGGATCAAACCATATATTCTCCTCTTTATTATTATTTTTGTGTGTGGGAAACTTGGGAATGAACACAGAGCCTTGTACGTACTAGTCAAGGGCTCTACCACTGAGTTATCACTCTACCACATAGCTAGCACCTATTATTATTGTTGTTGTTGTTATTATCATCATTACTATGGTGGCTTATTTTATTTATTTATTTTTTAAGATTAGGCATTACTATATGGCTCTGGCTGCCAGAAACACTCTATGTAGACCCATTTGTCCTCAAACTCACAGAGATCCACCTGATTCTGCCTCATGAGTGCTGAGATAAAGGCATGTACCACCATGCCTGGCATCATTTCTTAAGACATCTGTCTAAGCTGGCCTCACATTTGTGGTAATCCTTCTGCCTCAGCCTCCCAAGTTCTGGGATTCCTAGTATGAGCCACACATATTGGAATGCATTTTTAGTTTTGAAATGGGGTCTTACTTAATCACTTAAGTTGGCCTCAAACTCACTATTAGCTCCTTTAAAATTATTATTTCTTACTGTTTGTGTGTATGGTATATGCGAGAATGTGGCTATTTATGTACCCTGGCGTGTGTGTGGAGGTTGGAGGCACAATTTCAGGAGTTGGCTATCTCCTTCTGCCTGTATGTGGTTCTGGGGATTGAACTGAGGTTGTCAAGTTTGTGTGGCAAGCCTACCGAGCCCTCTCAATGTCTCTGTGTTGTCTTTTAAAAAGACAACATAACAATAATGTATCTTCACATGAAGACATAAAACTTGAAAAATTTTAATAACTTCATGGCTGGCATTACTAATTTATCATTTTTTCCTTTTGGTTAACCCATATATTGTTTTAGATTGATTCTTGAATTCTGATTTCTTTACCTTGAAAGACATGAGAAAGATTAATGACCTCTATAAACCTATGTACAAATTCACTCACCATTACCATCTGATTTTGTTCTTCCCCCAAGTCCAATGTGGATGTCCTAGCCCTGAGCACTTCAGATATGACCTTATTAGAAAAAAAAAAGATTGCTGTGGGTGGAATTAGTCAAGGCTCAGGGTGGTGGTGGTGTTGGGGCTAATATAATAGGATTCGTCTTCTTATGAAAAGGAGAAATTTGGAGACAGTACATGGGGAGAACATCAGGTGACACGAAGGCAGAGCCCAGGGTGATGCTTCTATAAGTCAAGGAATGTCAGTGAATGTCAGCAAACACCCAAAGCAAGCAAGACCACAGGGAAGAGTCTCTCTCAGGTCCTTTGAAGGGTACAAACTTATGGACATCTTACTTTGGACTCAGAAATCTCCAGAAATTTGAGATGATGAATTTCTGTTGTTTAAGTTTCCAAGTTTATGCTCCTTTGTTAAGAAAGTTCTAGAAAACTAATATATCTAACTTTTAAAAAAATGAGTGCTTAATATTTGAGGCAGAAAATATTAGAGTAATATTCTGATTTCAACTGGGTACCACTACTCTCTAGTCCAACAATATATTAAAAGATTGTGACTATGATATAGCCCACAGCTTTATGGAAATGGCTTGAGATATAACATAGTGATGGGCTGAATGTTTGGGTAAAAGTCAAATAACCAGTGATTTAGAAAGGTAAAAAAAATACTAAAAATTCCAGTGATAAGGATGTGGTTATCAAAGACCTTCCTTATATGGTAGACCAGCTTTTCTGGCTTTCAATTAAGTGAGGTAACATGAACAAAAAGTAATGATAATTATTTCTACAGAATTTATTCTCCTCACTTGCACCAGTATCTCATTCAAGGAAGACTCATGCTGGTCTATATTTGAGATTTTCCAGGGTATTTTATTGAATGCCATGTGTGTTATGGTCGTTATATGAGTTCAAAATCATAACAAGTTGCTTTCAGAAAATGGTGTCAACCATTCCATTTCAAAGTATTTGAGTAGGCAGGGCTTAGTCCAATGTAGCCCTACCCCTACCAGGAGAACATTTCTTCTTCTGAGCCATAGAGCATTCACTCCTCTAAATCTCTAGGCTTGTTTTTTCATGCTTTAGTCTTTTTTTTTTTTTTTTTTTTTTTTTTTTTTTTTTTTTTTTTGAGACAGGGTTTCTCTGTGTAGCTTTGGAGCCTGTCCTGGAACTCACTCTGTAGCCCAGGCTGGCCTTGAACTCACAGAGATCCACCAGCCTCTGCCTCCCCAGTGCTGGGACTAAAGGCATGCGCCACCACCGCCCGGCCTCATGCTTTATTCTTTGGGCAACTAAATGATAATGACATGATCTGACTCTCGTGACAGCTGTATGTAAAGCCTCACAAGAATAGAAACTTAGTTTACTTTATTCATCTTGGTATCTTTTTGGGCACAAATTATTTTTCATAAAAGGAATAACTAGGTACAATAGTATGCACTTCTAGTCTTAGCTAACTAGAAGGCCGAGGCAGGAGGATCACTCAAGTCCAGGAGTTCTATGCCAGCCTGTGTAACAAAGTGAAACACTGTCTAATGAATGAGGATATATTTTAAAATTTCTCTTCCTATGATTTTAAAAATTAATTTAACATTTATAAAGGCAAGGGCTATTGCTGGTCCTTCTTAATGGGATCTACAGCTAGAGCTATAAAACCAACCTAATGAAACATTTTCATAATATACTTTAAATGGAATAATGAAGTCATAATTTTCCTACATTTTTAGCACAAAGACTAGTTCTTCTTTTCTTTGTTCCCCCCAGACAAGTTGCTACCCCGAGTCTTTTCTATTTCAATATTCTAAACTTGCCACTACTTCCTTAATTCCTTTAGTACTGAAGTTCCAGTGCCTATGGGGCCTTCCAGGAAATTCCAACAAGTGAAGGAAACCAGGTAAGAAACAATAGGGAGAGGTGGGGGACTGGTGGAGTATTGGAGAATCTGGACTCCCACTGAAGTGATACGGTATACCATTTGGCTCAGTTGTGTGGGATATGGTAAGTCTATTATGGCCAGATTTTCATGTTTCTTAGGAGGTACCAGAAATATAGAATTATATGTGATATCTGTCAATTTGAAAATGTTTCAAATTGAGAAAAAAAACACCACATTGGCCTATAATATCCATTCTTTGCTGGTGAACACACCTTATAGTTTAACAGTTTGTAACTTCTATTTTTCCAAAATGGGTAATTCTTGGAGCTCTGGGCAATGATTCCCTAGGAACCACCAGGGACTTTAGCATGAGAATGGTGGAGAGCAGACTGAGACACATAAACGCACAAGGAAGTCTGAGTCATGTTTTAAACTATTTGTATTTTTTTTTATTGCAAAACATTTGTTACAGAAATTCCAGAAAGTTCTTTGCCTGTAGAATCTGCCAACTTCTGCTTCAAATTTATATATCTAAACAGACAAGCTCAAAGTGCATTGTGAATCGAGTAACAGACCGTTAAAAAAGAACAATGCCTCTAGATTTATATATATATATATTCATAGTGTCAGTAGATATGCAAACCTCTTTCTATCATACATGAAAGAAGGAAAAGATGTATATATATATATTTAGTAAACCCAATTTCAAAATCATTGTATTTATAGGAATTCATTTAAAAATGGTATCTGAATAATTTCCCCCATTATAAACTATGGTTAGAGCATTTACAAGTGAGAGTCTAAGTGCTATGTTATGAAATGGCTATGAATGTAGTGTACTGACTACACGGACTGTCTTACACAGTGGTAGCAGCAATAGAAACTCAGTTCAGATGCTCCAGTGACAGGAAGCAGGTAAGTCTTCACAGGCTATAGTATCCTTGCTCATAGTCTCCTTCACGCTGATCCTGTGTTTGGATCCAGTCAAACATGCTAATCAACATACATGGAAGTCATCCAGGAGTCACCCTGAATAGGGTGAGATGCTTCTCCCAACTCAGAGTTCTTGAGTGTATTTGATGTGTTTGCTCTCTATGTGAGAATCATGAATCAGACCGTGCTTGGCTCCAAATCAGAGGCCCCAAAACATGGCCATTGGGAATTCTGCTGGCACACACCTACATACCTATGTGGCTAGTACAGCGGTTGAAAACCCAAATTTGAATCTTTCTGTGGGACAAATATATATATATATATTTGCATGCTCTTGCATTGTCTTTCCTAGGCCCATTCCTTTGCATTCTAGATCTGGGTCTTGCATTGAGTTTGTAATCCCTTCATAGAGAGAGAGGCAGGCGACTGGGTGAAGATGTAGAGGGCCTTTCAGGATTCAGACAGGCAATTCAGAATCAGACATGACAGGTGCTACAGCAGCCACGTTAGGAACTTGGTTGGAGGGAGGAGGTGAAGTCAACTGGAAGATCAGACCTGGGTCAAATTCAGAACATCTGGCTTTTCCATGTAGTTGATGTTTGAGATTACTGTTTTGGGGTCCATAGGGAGGTAACAGATGAGTCTGTTGGTCTCACATACACGGAAAAAAAAAAAAAGGGGAGCTAGCTTTAGACTAAGGAAAAAGAAAGAAAAAAGCTGTGCCCCCAGGCCCAAGGCTGATCTCACCCTGTGCCTCACATTCTTCAGCAATCCAAAAGGACTGGAGCCAGAGCTGGCACTAATGCCCCTCGGAATCTATGGGCATCTACATAGATGTCCATCCGTTCACTTTCCAGCCCCCAACACCCATGCGGGGATCACGTGTTGCAGAAGGTGACCAGTTATTCCAGGAAAATTAGGAAAGGAATCACCTCTTTTGATTAATCTGGATGATCTGGTTACCTGCACCCCCTCTTAGATGACACACAGAAATCAGTACATCTTGATTTTATTAGGGGTGACCAGCGCAAGGAGATCACGAGAGCAAAGGCCGTACTAACACGCCCTGAAATTAATTTGAAAAAGGAAAGTGTTCTTCTTTAATCAGAACCAACCCCCTCTTTTATTGACTCTAATCTGAGAGACAAGATGCTTGACTCGTAGACACCAGAGACAGCACAGGGCAAAGCTGGTGGAGAGGAAAGATTTCCCTACTCATTTTGGGAGCATTTAGACTGTGCAAGTTGGAACCATCCCTTTCCAGATGTTGAATAGCTTCTAACAATGGAACAGCGACTTCTTTAAAGAAGAAACTCTTTGGAGTTACCTGGTGCTTCATCAAACAATCACCCCGTTCCACCTCTGGGCCCAGCCCGCCCACAGGGTGTGAAAGCCACAGGACAAGAAGGGAGGTCTCATCCATTACTGTGGGACCATCCACTCATAGCGATCTGTGCCTTTCTGTCCTGTCATTGTGGACCTTTGGCTTTCATCTCTGGTTTAGCAATTTGCACCCAGGAAGCTCTAAAGAATGTGTCTTTTGCGTATCACAGATGCTCCCACACCTGGACCTCGGGACTCCAGAGTGGTGCTGGCTTGCCGTCTCTGGGTCCCCTAGCTATTACAACTTGCAGTTGATACTTTTTTTCATAGTATCCGTTCAGAGCTTCACCAGCTTGAAAGAAGAAACCCTTGGTTACTTAGTTTTAATTTTTGAAACCTGAACGTAGTCCCAGTTTAAGAAGCCCAACAATTGGAGCGGGTCCCTAACTGGCTTAAGCATTGCAGCAGACAAGAGTAAAATGTTAAGTGCACTAAAAAAAAAAGTCAAAAGAAATGCATAAAGCACAGCGTGCATTGTGCTGACACAAAATTAAGACAGGGTTTGGACAGGGATTACTTCAGTCAAGTCAAATTGTTACTGTAAAGATTAGTGAGTTGAATGCAATATCTAGGCCAAGTATACAGCCACCTAAACATTAAACATTAGCATCACTTTTTCTAGAACAGACTGTGCTACGGAATGAACGTATTTATAAAATACTGTACACTGCTTCCACGTGGGGTCAGCAGACGTAAACAAACAGCTAATTCAACTGGAGTTTAAAATATTTAAGTTCATTTGCTATATAGTATTTTGCATAACATGCCAGCTTGTCAGAACCATACCGTACCTCTCACAGCTAGCGGGACCTGGTAGAGGATGCACATCAGCTTATACAAATATTTTACAGTGGTCTGAGGAATGTGAACAACATAATGAAGACCAGGAACAAAAATTCCCGTTATCGGAGGCTACTAAATAACATGGAAATGGGAACATACTCAATCCTTACCACATGTGCTTCTTTATTGAATGTTACAGATTTATAAATGAATATAAAGCTGTCCTGTAACGTTCATTAATACAACCACATGCTACAACTATGCTGGGTTAAACACAGGTTACAGATAGGTTTACATGTGTTTTATGATACAGCATTGCCCAACATGTCACATGGCATAGCCTATAGATATAGCATGATGGATAACTGGATAATATTATCTTTAAAGAAATCAAACAGCCCAAACATCCAGGAAGATTAGCTGTACAGCTGCAGAAAGAAGAAACGTACTATCCAGTGATCTACCATAATGTTATCTATAGAAACCAGATTTTTAAAATACATTTGTAACATTCAGAAGAAACACATTTTGTGTTTTCACAAGTACACCCCCCCATTTCATTATTCTGGTATAGGTATATATATATATTTTTTTTTTTAAAGGGGGAACTTTCAAAGTGCTAAATAATATCTGGCCCTGGAAGCTTCAATTTAAAGAAACGCCCAGTTCTATAAAGTGCCACACTCTGACTGCCCTCCTTTTGGCTTTCAGAAACACAAACCGGCCATGACAATTATCCTCTTACTTTCTAGCACTCCATTCAAATCTATCAGTTTCTAACTGTAAATATAAAATATGGCCATTTTTATAAAACATCCTTAACTCCTTTCCCAAAAGGAACAAGCAAGCAATTTAGAACAAATCATCACACATCACAGTATATAAAAATTGGCACCTATGAAGCAGACGATTGAATAAGCTCTCTCTTTCTTGAGCCCTCTATGACTTTATTTATGTATGGTCTTCAGTGACTGGCTGCTCATGAGCTGCTTAATTCACAAGGCAGGTCATTCAGGTCCCCTCAGTCAGGGACATGGTGGGACAAATGAGCTGAACACAAGCTGTCCGTACAAGGCCACAGAATCAATGCCACACTGGTGTGCAGAGAACCCAGAAATGGAAGGAGATGGGACTGGAAATAACACACACGCATGTGCACAGGAAGGAGATGGCTTATGAGACCTACACAGTTTGCGTCTTAAGTTGTTTACATTTGGCTTAGAGATTTCACACACTTCACCAAGGATGTTAGCACTTAATTTTCATGCAGAACAAAAGCTCAGGACTGTTAAGTGTTTCCTTTCCCAGGTCACACTGTCTTTCTCTCAGGTGATCACAACAAACAAACACTCAGACTTGTCCTTTCTCTCCCTTGCTTCCAATGAGGTCCCAAGCCAGGCCCCACAGTGCTTGGTACCCTGCTCTATGGTCAAAGATGATGAGTTCATTTCCTTGGACTCCCCTGTGGATTCCCTCGGAGAGTCTTTGCATTTGAGAATGCTTGCTACTCAAAGTCATGAAAATGTTAGGGCACAACACCATCCAGCTAACCAACCATGTCTAATCTAAGGAACAGAAATGCTGAGACTTGGCCTTCCAGAGATTCACAGGGAAGTGGTCTACAAGTGTATCGTGCCTGTTCCCATTTGACTGATGATAAACATGGTCTCTGTCCTCATCAGTCACTGGAACCAGAGGATTTGTGAACCCCTTAAAGTTACACTGTAGCTTCACGTGGATGTGAAGTTGGGGGGTGGGAGGGCTCGGGGTTTCTGTGAGGTTCTCACAGGGGTTCATGGCTCAAGGAGGCTCAGAGTTAAATGATTTACTCCCAGGTTCAACACATATATGCTGGGAGGGAGATCAATGAGGATGTGTCTCTAGCCCAGTTATCAATGAAGAGGTTGGGTGTTACCTAAATACCCAGGATGAAAACTGATTCTTCATGTCTGGTAGCTTGCTACTGTTTTCAGCTGAAAAGCTTGTTTCTTTAAAAAAAAAATATTTAAAGGCTAGAGGTTTTGTGAGGGATTGACTTGATTCCACCAAGTGAGGTACAGCTATAGTTAAAAGAATCAGTGAGTATCTGGGGCCAGGGACATGAAATCATGTTTCTGTTTTTTCTCTCTCTCTCCTTCCCGTCCTCCTCCTCCTCTTTTTCCCCTCATCAATGGGGAGGGAACACAGGGCCATGAGTATGCTAAGCAAGTGCTGTGCCACTGAGCCCCATCCCTAGCTCAAAGAAAATTCCTTTTTACAATCTTTTCTTTCTTTTTTTGTGACAGGGTCTCATGTAGTCCAGATTGGCCTTGAACTTGATATATAGCAGAGACTGACTCTGAATTCCTCATCCTCCTGCCTCTTCTCTCCAAGTGCTGGGATCACAGGTGTGCATCACCACTATTCCTGGCTCATTTTTCGTAAAGACTTGATTATTTTAAAATGTTCAGTGATCCAAATAGGAGCCCAAAGTTTTGTGGTCAAGATTTCTTTACCCCACTTTCAATCCAGATTCTAATCTAGAAACTTAGATTCTAGAAAATTCTAGACTGTGTAATACAAGCTGGCTTGGAATCACACATGTATTCAGATTGTATTTGGTGGCAATAGCTTCGTGTCAGAGAAACCAGAGTGAAAGATGTCACAACAGTGGGTGCTTCAAACAGGAGACGGCAGAGGGCAAGGGTGAGCCATTTCGACAGTTCTTGTTCAATGTAAGGAAAGAGTAAAATGACAGAGAGTTTCTGAAAATTGTAATTTCAACAGTAGGTCCAATAGTACAATGAGCTTTTCCAGTGAAACTTCTTGGATATTAAAAAATAGTCTTGGTTATACCTTCAGGTGACAGGGAGTCAAAGCCTCTTAAGAAATCTCTCTGTGTCTGTTTATTACTGTATATAAACATGTGTCTATGTATATGGATGTATACATGAGCAGCATAAACTATAGAACTCTGTATATGGTATGTTTGCTTTCTATTTTGGCCTACTGTATCTTTTTTATAGAAACATATTCATGGTCTGTCTGCAACTGATGGCTTTGGGTTGATGTCAAGCCCCTAGTCAAGTCTAAGGTTATTTATGGTTTTTAAACTTCCTTAAAAAGTACTTTGGAGCTGGGTGGTGGTGGCACAAGCCTTTAATCCCAGCACAAAGGGAGGCAGAGGCAGACAGATCTCTGTGAGTTCAAGGCCAGCCTGGTCTACAAATGAGCTGTTATACAGAGAAACCCTGTCTCAAAAACAAAACAAAACAAAGTACTTTGGAACATTTCCATAAAAAAGATACCAGCCCTTGAAAAAATCCGATTAAATTTATGCTGAGCCCAGATTAGATGACTAAATTCTAGGTATGAAAATATCCACATAGAACCATGTGTTCAAATACAAAACGGTCACGTGATGAGTGGTGTGGAAGTTTGGCAGTTACATCTTGGAGGTGTTCGGAGGACATAGTGGAAACATGCAAATGATGAAGGCCACACAGCAGCATCACACACTATGAATGGTGAGAGTATAACAATATCCCACGTGGCAATTTAATGTTAGTTCTTCCCACTGTTTTTTCTTAAAGTTCAATATTACATATTTGATGAGTGAATTCATTGATGACAGGTGAGATACAAAATAACTTAAAAATATAAAATTATTTAATTACATTCATCCTGAGCTTGCTTGACTATATACTTGATTGCCCATGGTATATTATAAATCATACGACTTTTGCTGTTAGCATCAATTCTTCTTTCATTTCGATTGCAAGACAAAAAGAAAAAAAAAAGGCATTTCTGTTCCCTTATTTTCTTCTAAAGAGATAAACAGTTGTGGCACCAGAAGTGAATATATAAGAGACAGGTGAACTGTATATATGACTGTTACCTTGTTTTTCTTTATAATGACCAATTACAGAAGTGTTGGCATGAGAAGGATGTGGGACGTTAGGTAGAACTGCTTGCTGCCGGCTTATACTGAATAAAAAGGATGTTCTTCATCAGTCACCAGTGATGGAACCAATGTGAAAAGAAAACAGAATTGAAGTTTAGAATATCTCATCTTGTATGCTGGCTCTTTTATCTCATTTTGCAACTTAGCCCCGTTGCCTCAACTCTCGATAACAGGGCAGAAGTCCCATGATGCCTGCTGGCATGGAGAATGCTTGAGCCCATCAGAGCTCATGGCTTTCTGTGGTGCCTGGTTACACACATTCATCCCTAACCCCTTGCTTTTCTCTTTTCCCCTCCCTCCCCAACAATGTGAACATGCCTTAACACCCTGTGTTTGGCACTGGGCCAGATGGAATGCTTGCTTGACCTGTGTGTGGCCCAGAGGTTACCTTTGAGTTAACATCTCCCAAGGCATTGTTTTGCTCAGCTAAGAGTAAAGCAGATATAACTCAAGGAAGGGGGAACAAGGTGGACATGGGGAGAATTTTAGTGCTGGATTCTCGAGCCTCCTGCAACACAGGGTTAGAAGGTTTAGTTGTGTTTGCTTTCAAAGCTGTGAAAAGCTGATGTTCTAGACAGTCTCCTCATGGATAGGCTATCCCCTCGGCCCTCTGGCTTGGAGGACTTACTTCTCTGGAAGGGATTTCGTAGGCTTGAGGTGTTCCTCTGTCTATCAAGCTTGTCACTGATGGAGAAGCTCTTCTTGGTATGTGCATATGGCACGCTTGGCTCTTCTGCCGAGTAGCTGTTGGCACGCTCTATCTTGGGAACTGTGATGTTGTTGGATAGGGTTCTGTCTGCATTTTCAGCCTCCTGAGAGGAGATCGGATTGGCAGCTCTCCGGCCTCTGGCCTCATTCTCCTCACTGTCAGAGCTAGGATGGCTCAGCTCTGCTTCTCGCTCAGGGTGGCAACAAGATAAGTCCTCTACTTTGTCTCCGAGACCTCCAGGGAAGGTGGCTCTGTCGGCAATTACTTGAGGGGCATTGACACATCTTGTGTCGATACAGTCCGTAATACTTGTGTATTCTGCTGTTTTCACGGGCACCCCAAAGTTGGCATAGTAACTCCTTGAAGGAGAAAACATAAAGCTATGGGATTTTACAATGGGGGCCTCTTCCAGAAGAAAGGGTGTGGTCGCTAGGTAGCGGCTACTCTTGGACCGCTCGATGGTATGGTACATTGGAGGGTCTGTGTCCCAGGGGTTTTGGCATTCTGGGAGGTGGGTATAGTCTGAAGAAAAAGACCTAGTGTCCATGGAGGTGAGGTCTTCAAAATCAATGCTCCTGCTTGGAGGTCGGTCTGTAGGTGCAAGGGTTGCATAGGCACTACTTGAAGGGGCTGTGGAAGGTGCTAGAGCTGAAAAGCTTGGCTCACCCAGCCCAAGGATGTTCATGGAATTATCCAGAGGGTCTATATCACAGTGGAGCTCATCCATGGCAGAGACATAGATGTCTATGCATGATGATGGTCTTCTGGAGTCAGGAACAATGGCCAAGGTGTTTGCAGGGGCTGCAGGAGCTTTGGGTTCTTTTGCTACTGAGTGGGAGCTAGTAGCTCGGTGTAAGCTCAGGGACCTTTCTTTGAAAATGCTTTCCAACTTTTCTATACCACCTTTGTCTTTCACATTGACTGAATAGAAAGAATGGCTTCGCATACGGGGCATTAAGGTTGGAGAAGTTGGGGACATGGTCTCCTCACCTGCAGGGTCTATACTCTCTTGAAGTTTGAAGGTGTTCCCTTCCTGGCTGTTGAAGCTGCTCTGGCGGACGATGTAGGCTGCATCTGTGCAGTCTGAGGAGGTCCTTGAGCGGATCTTGTTGGACTCTGCCCGCTCCAGACCTGTCAGGCGCTCCAGGGCTGTGGCCATGCGCCCGATGAGGTCTTCCAGCTGTGCCAGCCGGATGTCCACAGTCTGGAGTGAAGCCTTCATGGAGTGTTCTCTCTCATTAACTTCCTCTAGCCTCATGGACATGTTCTCTACCCTGTACGGAGAAGGAGAGCATAAGAGTCACTTAGGTCAGTGTCTTCTGCTGTGGGGGTTAGAGGATAAGGCTAGAAGACAGCAAAGCTGTATACTCTTCTCCAAGAGTGAATCAGCGGGGGTGGGTGGGGGTGGGGTGGGGGTGGGTGGGTGGGTGTTACAGGTAAAGGGAGGGCCTGAAGTGGAGGGAGTGGAGGGGTTATGGGTAAAGGGAGGGGCTGAAGTGGAGAGAGTGGAGGGGTTGTGGGTAAAGGGAGGTGCTGAAGGGGAGAGAGGATCACAGGATCTGACTACTTTTGTGCTGGAAGACATTTTGGAAATGATCTAATCCAGTGGTTTTCTTTAGTTTTAGTAGTATTTTTTAAAAGGAACCTCTCTGTGTTGCACAGACTGGACTTATGCCCTGTGATGCTCCTACCTCAGCCCCCTGAACAGCTGGGATGGCAGGCAAGCTCCACCACACCTGTCATAATTCAGAGGGTTTTAGTTTTTAGTTTAGCATACCCTAGGTGCTGCTTCCTAGTAGTATTTTAGTGCTTGAAGAGTAATAAAGAGCAGAATAGTTATTCTCCTGCTGTTCTTTGTGGAGCCCAGTGTATAGAGGGTTGATATCTGAAGGGGATAATGGTGCTGTTTGGCACGACTATATGTGATCACTGGTCTAAGGGCTGAGAAATGCCTGTGTGCCATAATCTGAATGGTGGTGCCTCTTTGTCTACTGCCCTTCAGGCTTAGGGTCTTACACCACAGAGAAAAGGAGCAAGTGAGAGTCAGAAAGACCGGGAATCCAGAGAGAGTGAAAAGATGCTGGGGTCTAGGAGAGGAGGCTCTTCAGGTACACTAGGAAAGTTCTGATGGGGATCCTAAAAGCAGAGCATCACATGGACTAAGAAAATAGAGCTGGAGCTGGAAGCCAGCTACAAAGGGACTGAAAAAAAATATACATACACACATATATACATTCAGGGTCTCATATACATACATACATACATACATACATACATACATACAGGGTCTCTCTCAGTAGCCCTGGCTGTCTTGGAACTTGCTATGTAGATCAGGCTGACCTTGAACTCACAAATATCTGCTTGCTTCTGCCTCCTAAGTGCTGGGATTAAAGGCATGCCACACCTTACCCGGCTCAAGAGCTATTTTTAACCAATTCTTACCACTTCTCTGCACTCCTACGTTGCTGGTATGTTAAATCTTGTAGAAAACAGGAAGGGCCAGTGTTAATCCATTTTCACTCATTAATCTGGGTGTGATTAACCATCTAACCACCCAATAGCCTAATGATGAGGACATGGACCTAACTGCAAGGAGCATAAAATCTAAAAAGGACCTAGAGTCAAATTTACTCTGTTCTATAACTAGACAGCTTCTTTAAAACTTACTCTTTTTTTTTTTCCTTGAAAAGTTTGGGACCAATGAGACAGCTCAGCAAACAAAGGCACTTGCCACCAAGTCTGCTGATCTGCGTTTTATCCCTGGAGGTACACGGTAGAAGACAGAACCTACTCCTGCAAGTTGTCCTCTGATCTCCACATACGCATGCACACACAGAGCCCACCAAGAATTTTCAGTCATGATGGCGGCCACTCAGCACTGATCATGGTCGGATAGCTTAAGCAACAGAGTGCAGACACAGGTGATAAGAATTTATGAATCAGCAGAAATCCCCAAGGAGATAGACACATACAGCAACTAAGTTAAAGAAAGAAGGTCATTGTGAAAATCACGATATTATATGGAAAGAAACGTGTCTTTAACTTTCCATTGCTCACATCTCCAGATGGAGAGCGGTTCATTTCAGATTAACTCAGAAGATGATGACAACAGGGTACAGGGAAGAGGAGAGGTGGCACATGCCCACGAAAAGGGAATAAGCTCTTAGTCCTTCTGATTTCAAACCCTGCACCCAGGTTGTATAACACAATGGTGCAGTTACATAATGTTCTCTTGGTTATATGGACTGTGTACAGTCAGTAGTGAAATGCAACCCAAAGCAGCCCTACTGATATGTCTGTGCACAGACACATGTGTGTGCAGACCTTTCTTCCCACCTTTCTCTGCCTCTGTTAAGAGGCTGTGGATAAGGCAGGTGAAATGATCTGCGACTCCACTCAGAATGGACATATCCTGGAGGGTACTGAGGCAGCCAATACAGATGACCTGGTCTCTTGGTGGGTCCCCAATGCACTGCGAGGCATTTCTGTTGTGCTTACATGCCATTCCATTGTTGGAAGAGTCTAGCTTTTGATTTTCTTAGAAATGCCCAAAACCCAATGATAACCACAGTAAAACTCCCCAACAGAAGCAGAATAAGGACTGGGCTTGTCCTGGGCTTGCTCAGGAGTCCATGCTGGTTCTTAAGGCCTGGTCTTCCTATTGCCCCTGAACCAGGATGGCAGGCTTCTGCTTCGTTCTGCATTCCTGGTACCTGCTCCCTCACTCACACCCTGAGAAGCCACCCTGGCAGGTCAGGGAGTGGAGTAGTCCTTCAGGGTTTGCTGACATGGAGTCAGAGGCTCTGGTTCCTTCCCAGAAGGAGTTGTTGACATGGTCACAGTATCTGCATGTGTGCTGGAATCTGGCCCTCTTCGTCCTGGTTCCTCAGAGAGGCAAAGCCTTCCTGGCATCTTAATATGCCTTTCCCTTCCTGCATTTCTTGCCTCCTAGGCCTATGGTTTTTCTGAATTCAAAAAGCATTTCGAAGGCCCAAAGACATATGCTAAGGAAATATGTCTCAGCTATGGTAATATTCCCACATGGCACAATTTTCTGGAAGCACACGGCTGTATGTCCATTCATAAACAGCTTTCCAAGGCCTCAGAATGAGAGAGAACTTAGGAATTTCAGCTCCTTCCTCTGTTTGCCAGAGAAGTATTTTACAGCATATCATAAATCTCTCTATTTTGTAGTGGCAGATGTGTATAAAATCTGTGCAGAGCTTTAAATCTTACTAATATTGGCTTGGTACCTATGGATACAACCGCTCATTGGCATATGTGATTATACCTATGCGTGTAGTCTGCATTCTTTAAAGAAAGAGCAAGGGACAAAAAAAATTGCAATTTATGTGATTTCTACATAGTTAATAAAGCATCTTTGATGTGGGTACACAAAGTGGCATTCCATGAAAATTAGAAATGAGTCTTTTAAATCTTTGAAGTCCCATTCACACTGACTGCAGTTACCCATCTATTATGTCTTCTACACTATTTACCATTTGCTCTCTCTGTCTTTAGAGTATAAACAGTTAAAGTGTGGTCACACCAGTTCTTTGTGACACCCTCTGACTGTTCTTTTGGAAGCTAGTCCCAAATGCTGGGTTATGAATATACCAGCTTGGAATGGTGGTTTCATTAGTCTATAGTAACAGAAGAGACACAAAACAAGAGCATTTGCCTAGATCTAGAACTGTTAGATATCAAAAATTCTGTCACGAGTGTGTGTGTGTGTGTGTGTGTGTGTGTGTGTGTGTGTGTGTGTGTGTCTTTGTGTGTGTATGTGTTATACCTTCTTGGGGCAGGGTCTTTCTGTGAACCTGGAGCTCACATTTTTTAAGTTAAGCAAGCCATAGTGATCCTACTGTCTCTACTCCTGACTGCACCATGGTTACTGTGTGCACGGGGCCATGCCTGCTTTGTGATGTGGGTGCTGCCACCTGAGCCCAGGATGTTTGCTCAGGAGATTTTTCATATAGATCTCTTGGCTCTCAAAGCCAGCTGGTAAGTGACAAATGAATCTGGATAGAAAATTTTGTATTTTTTGTTTTTAATTTTGTTCTATAAAAAGAAAATAACAAAAATAATTCTTGGAAAAATACCAGTCATTATTCCTGTTGATTGACAGAACCCTTGCCCTTGCTTATCTAGAAGGCGTGGAACACCCACATAGGCCAAGCATGGGGATATTCTCTTCTGGATAAGTGTACTCAACAGTCCAATGAACCTGTTGAAGAGCCTCAGTTGGAGCTGTGTCTTCCTTGCTTTATGTCTGGGATAGAACTTTCCAGTTTCTGGTCCAAGCCAGATCTATCCTAGACTCACCAATGCCCCTTGTCCAGGTGGAAGCTTTCATTGTCTCCTGGAAAAGCCCAGGATCTTTAAGTCTGGGACTTGGATCTATGGACTGATCAGGCAACAAACTGCTCTTTCAGAAGGTCCGTGTTTTCTTGGGCAGTAAAGGTAAGTAGAAGAGGTCTGTGTTTTGGAGATGTGTGAACAAATTCATCTGGTAACATGGAGAGTGGTAGGAAGCATCTGTGTGAGGTGGGGCCCAGGGACACACCTTTCTGACGTCACCCGTATCCTCTCGTCATTGGATGAGTTGAAGCGATCATCCTTCTCTCTGAAATATTCCTCTATGCACTGCTCTTCAAAATCGTGCACTTTCTTGAGCTCATCATCAGTTATGAAGAGTTCTAGGGGGGAGGAAAGAGCCGTGAGACAGAGCAGGGACCGCAGCGACATCTGGTCTGTGGCCTAATGACGGTTTTAAAGAAATGCAGGCTGGGGAAAGTCTACCAGATTCTATTGTGAGTTCCAGACAGAACCCAAATCTAATTAGGCCTCTTGAAACACAGGCTCCTTCCTGAGCTGCAGAGTAGTCGTGGTCTCTGGAAGCCACCTGGGTATACCTGGGTACCACAGGAGCTGGGCTTAATTAAGGAAGCAACGGGTTGGAGAACAGAAGGAAAACAAGGGAAAGAAAACATCTGGGAGCGTGGATGCTTCTTGAAGGCTCTAAATTTTCTGGGCTGAGTAGTGTGACATACCAACATCACTGATTAATAACCTTTTGTAACCCCATTCTCTCTCTCTCTCTCTCTCTCTCTCTCTCTCTCTCTCTCTCTCTCTCTCTCTCTCTTTCTCTCTCTCTCTCTTTTCTACTACAGAGGCAGGAAAGCCAAATACATACATGTCTAGTCACCCTTTAAATTATTAGCAAGACTCAGTTTTGACCAAGAAACAAAAGAAGTCTACTGCAGGGAGGGTGGGTATGTTGGGAAGAGATTTTGCTCCTTCATTAAAAAACAAAAACAAAAACAAACCAACCAACAAAACCAAAACCAGACATGGTTGCTCTTTTTATACTTCCTTTCTTTTTCCTAACTTCAACAGAAACATTTGGCGACTGGAGGCTCAGCAACTATTCTGTGACCTTGAAAACAAAATCACACAAAAGGAAAGCTGAGCCGAAAACTAGGAGTTCGGGTCTTTTGGGGTCTTTGTCCTCAGTGAGCCGTGGCTGAGTTTTCGATCCTCTCTTTACTCTCCGTTATGTAAGAAAAAGAAGCCTTCTTTATTTGTACTGTTGTTACTCTGGTTTTCTAACAGAAGGTAAACGTCGCCATCAATGCTACCGCAACAGAAGAAGTGTGGTGGAACTGTGAACCATTAAATGGGTTCTGGAACAGGGTTAGGGCAAGAGAGTTGTTGCGGTCGGTCATTTCTCAGATCAGGAAGTCTTTCTCACCCTGGGCCCTTGAAATGCTGCAGACACTGGCTCAAACACCAGGGGGGCTGAATTTCAGCTCTGTGGGCCCTTCCTGCCCCACATCCCTCTTGCTTGCCTAGAAACATCAGTTAGAACTTGCCAGGGTTGTAAAACATGGCTGGAAAAGCTGCTGGGACTGTGGAAAATACCAGAAGTCAGGCTGTACTTCTCAAAAATGGCAGGCTCCTAAGGTGAGGGACAGCTATGCCAGGTAGGGACACCTGAGATGTGAACCACACAGAGTCATGAACATCAGGGTCAAGAAGGAGGGAGGCCACATAGACTCCAATGTCAAAGACCCATGCTACCCTCTGCTAGGGATGTTTCTAAGATCCAAAGGAGTAGACTCAGTACTTTCTTGGCACCTTTCAATTGCCTTATTTGTTCTCTCTCTCTCTCTCTCTCTCTCTCTCTCTCTCTCTCTCTCTCTCTCTCTCTCTCTGTCTTACAGACACTACTGCTTGCTTTGTGCCTGGCATTTATGTGCATGCTCTGGCTCCAGATTCAGGGTCTCATGCTTGTATAAAAAGCACTTTACTGACGGAGCCAAACCCCAAGCCCTATGCTGCTCTTTTTCAAAAAATAAAATATTCTTTAAAAAAGCCTATTACCATGTCAGATTTTACCATCTAACTCTTCAGTTTACTCTTTCCGAGTCTCTGCAAGAACTTGGCAGTGCTCTGGGATCTTTTAATGACAGCTACAGACTGATGGGGGAGAACTTCATTCTTCCCTGATGGGTAGACACATGCAGGGCCTGCCTCTCTGCTCTTCACTCCTCTCACCCTGTCACGTTTTCAAGATCTTCCTTCTGGGAAGGAGTGCTCTGAGAAGTCTGTCACCTGCTCCTTCCTGCTACCTGTCCAGAGACCTGGTGATACATCCCATGCTACTCTGGCTGAAAATAAGAAAACCATGTATATGGCTGGTACCTGCCTTTAATCTCAGAACTTGGGAGGATACAGTGAATTGCTATAAGTGTGGTGCCAGCTTGATTTATATAGTGAGTTGCATGGTAGCCGGGGCTATGTAGTGAGACCATGTCTCATAAACAAAACACAGAAACAAATCACATATATTCTAGAGTTTGGTGGGGCTTCTCAGTATCCTTGGACCTATGAACCAGGCTCTGAAGTAGAAATAGGTCTCTGGACTGCCCCAGCTGAGTCTGAACAAGAAATATCCCTCGCCCCCCGCCACTAGGCTCATGTGTTTGAATAGCTGGTCCTGAGAGGGTGGTTATATTCCAGGGTCTGTGAGGTCTTTCTCAGTTATTGTGGATGTGTCTTTCAGGTTCACAGCCTGGCCAGAGTGCCTATTGAGTTTTTTTTTCTGCTTTCTCATCTCCCAAGGCATGAGAAGCTGCGTGTCCCTCATACTCCTGCCTCTATAACCATCACTGCCAGACCTTCCTTCCCATAATACACCAGGTCTCTCCAAACTATGGGATATGAAAAGTATCTCTCCTTCAAGTTTCTTTTCTTAGGCATTTGGTCACAATGACGATAAAAATAACTGACACAACCCCCTGTCACGTACTGTATTTCCAGCCATCTTTTGCTCTCTAGCTAAGCGAAGGTTTCTACCACAGGTGCTCATGATTTATGGAAATTGACTTGGAGCCCTGAGTTGACCCCCAGTGCAATATTCTTTATTATTAATTAATTAATTGTACAATATGACTCGAGTTTCCCCTCTCTCCTTTCCTCCCATTCCCATCCCCCAGTGCAATATTCTTACAGCATGCCTTGCCTAGGAGTTGACCATGCTGGCATGATTTGAGTACAAAATATCAGGCAAGTTCAGCTTTCTGTTGACCTAAACTTGTATTTTGGAGGGGAATGGTAATGAAGTTGCCAGGTCTTTCCAACTGTCTGACTTGAACGTCTAGAAAGAACTTGGGCATTGCTTTGTTAGGGAGATCACTAAGAGCTTTAGGCTTAGAGAATCAGTTGGGTGTATTGTTATCCCATGGATGGAGACAGACCCCTATCATCCCAGAGGCTCTTGCTTGTGGATTTAATGTAGATGTAGACTTGACACATTTGGAAAAAGCACAGTAGATTGTCTTTAAGTCATTGCATTTCAGTGGCTCCTGAGAGCTGGTGCCCAGGGGCATTTAGGAGCCTGCAGGAGCCACTGGTACTTAATGTGCAGAGATGGATACATTAAGTCTCCTGCCATGTGTCACACATTCTTACACAGTGAGGAACTCTTCCAGCCCAATGCTATCCAAACTTCCCTTCAGAAACACCAGGCTAGAAGGTGGGTGGTGGGTGGTAGGTGGTGGGTGGTGGGTGGTGGGTGGTGGGTGATGGAGTCCTTTGAAAACAAGGCTCACTCTCCACAAAATCATATAGGTACAATGCTGAAGGCTTAGAAAACATTTAAAATCTGTAATAGCAATAGTCCCAGAACTGAGCATTGAAGAACAAAACTCAGGCCATATTGTTTAAAGTGATATCTACTATGGCACTTGGGGCATATTAATGTGGCTGCTTTGTGGTAGGATCTTTGGAAAGTAAGAAGTGTATGAGGGTGGCAAACGTGCTCTGTTGGAGAGTGTTTTTTCTCTTAGTAAGAAGTGGCTAAGAATTCTGGCTTCAGCCCGTGCTATGCTGTCTCCTTTCGACCGTGTATCTCATCAAGCAAGCCCTCTTCCCATTCCCCTAGATATGCAGGAGGCAGGAGGAATGAAGCCGGAGAACCAGGGAAGGCATGGTCCCCCCCCCCCCCCCCCCCCCCGCCATGACTGCCTATGGGAATTGCTGGGGGCTTCCAGCTGCAGGTGCCGGCTTGCTGCTCACTCAGGCCATAGTCTCTTTCATCCGGGTCACTCTCGTGTTTCCTCCATCGGCAACACACATGTTGGAATATCATGGTCATGTGGCTGAAGATGATGAGCGGTGGGGGCAGAACTGGCCTCTCGTGGAAAGTCATGATGAGTTGGTACCTCTGAAATTTCCATACTTGGTTGGATATCGACTTTACCTCAAAAAATGTGTTGCTGAAACAGACCAGAGAGTCACACGACAAAAAATAAATCATTACTTTTTTTGAAATACCGGCTCCCTCCCTCCATGCTGCCCATCCATCCACCTGTATGCCTGAAGAAGTGGCCACTCACTTGAAGACAGCAATAAGGAGGTTGACCAGAAGGATGTTTGCCACCAAGAGGTAGCAGGCCATGATGGCTGGCACAATCCATGCTCCTGTCTTGCATGGGGGTAGCTGGATTGTCTTGCCATCCTCTCGGGTCTCATTCTGTCCACAGGGAGCTGGAGGAAGTGACAGTTAAAAAATGATTTGAGAGAGAGAGAGAGAGAGAGAGAGAGAGAGAGAGAGAGAGAGAGAGAGAGAGAGATATTTAAATGAGGTGTTTAAATGGAAGGAAAATACAGCCACCTCAAACAGCAAAAAGTTTCAAAAAAGCAAAATAGGAAAATGAAAGCTTCATGAATATTCAAAGGGCCACCACTCTTGAGGAGAGGCGGTTCCACCTGTGTCCCCAATCTGTCATCAGACTGCAAGAGCTATCTAGGGCCACCTGCTTGGTCCCTCAGTCCCTTGGCCCCTGGCAGTGGTGAGAGGGCATTTGGTGTTCCTGAAATGCTTGGTGAGGGCTTTTGGAGGAGCCAGGGCCAGAATCCTACCTCCTGGCAAGTTACTTTCAAAATGTGCTGTAGAGGCCTCCAGCGGACAGCTTGGAGCCAAGCATGGCAGGCTATTGATTGGAAATTAACACCAGGGCAACTGTTAATTGCTGGGAGAAACAATCCTCCGCCTCAGCCAACGATTTGCTGTCTCAGTACAGAGGGAACAGTACAGGGCGGCACCCTGGGAAGCACCTAGAGAGCTTGTCACTTGGTGCCTCTGATGGATGAGGAAGGAGGATAACAGGGAACGAGGTCGCGGGGAGGGACCCCAGAGCCCACAGCCACTTGTCTTTAAAAAAACCAACCAACCACATTTTCATTCCAAGTATGTGCATTTCAGGGACAAGACATAAACCTAACTGTAGTTACTAAATGGCAAAGGCATGGGGAGCGGTGTTCAGGGAGATGTCGTGGTGGGAATGAGGAGGAAGGCGATGTGTGGGATTGGGTGAGCAGAAGTAATGTGCTAATGAGGCCAGCTTGGTATTTCCAGGTAAGTGGGGCAGGGGGAGTCCTCAATAATGCTTTATAGGCCTGCCGAGTGGGGCTCACAGAGCCTGTCTTTCTTACTGTTCTATTGCTGTGAAGAGACACAGTGACCAAGGCACCTTACAAACAAAAGCATTTTTTGGCAGCGGGGGGGGGGGGGGGGGGGGGGGGGGGGAGGGAGGGGGGCTTGCTTACAGTTTCAGAGGGTTAGCCCATGACCATCATGGTGGGGAGCATGGCAACAGGCAGGCAGGTATAGCCTGGAGCTAAGAGCTGACATCTGATTCACAGACAGCAGGCAGAGAAAAAGAGCGGTGAGACTGGGCCTGGGGTGGGCTTTTGAAACCTCAAAGCCCACCTCTGGTGACGCATCTCCCCCAACAGGGCCACACCTCCTAATCCTTTCCAAACATTCCAATAATGAGCCTCTGGGGGCCAGTCTCATTCCAACCACCATAGAGCCCGTCTTGCTTGTCGGTACTGAGGGTAAGTGACGTAGCTCTTCCTGTCCAGCTGCTTTCCTTTGGCCTTTGAACAGGGTAACCTTATGTCTGTTAGCAGTGGGTAAGAGCACCTCAGGAGGCCTCAGCAGCTCCTGTAGGCCGCTACTGAGGAACTGGCAGGAGGGTTGGCATGGGGACTCTACAAGGCTTGAGCAGTACAGCAAGGGGGCCCATTCTTCTCCAGAACTCCTCCTGCCAGCCATTGCACTCTGCAGGTTCTCCGCTCTCAATACCCAGGGGTCACCTGGCAGCTTGAAACACTACTAACACCCAGCTCTCACCCAGAATTGAACCAGAAGTCCCCTGGGGTCATAGGTATGGCCTTCCTTGTCATTTGCTACAGAGGTCGAGTAACTGAGCTTTTAGTTAGGCTGGAAAAGTCACATGATTTTTTTTTTTTTAAATTAAAACACATATTTGCAGCAGCCAGCAAGGGTTTTATTAGCACTTGGCCACCAAGATCCTGATTTTATGACCAGGATAAGATGGCCAAAGCACTCCCTTTGGCTCTATATGCCAGATAACTGGATGTGGGAATGGGGTGTTTTCTAGAAGGCAGAATCTTGCTATTGACATTTGTAGTACTGACCACCCAAGACATCCCTGTAAGAAAGAGGGTCTTGGAAGAAAATTCACCAACAAGTGATGTCAAAATTCTGCAGGCAGCTCTCCAGGGCTATCTTTTCTCCCTTCTCCCTGTGGGCACAACCTGGACCAACTTTCTTGTAGTTCTTAGAAATCCAGTCTTCCTCTCACTTCCTGATTTTGAGCCACATTGTTTCTGTCATTTCCATAAGACCTGTTGACAACTTGGCCCCACTCCCAAATTTCACCCAGGGTGTATCTGTTCTCTTTAGTGTGTGCCTAGCCTCCCACTTTCGACCCCTCCAGCCAGGATTGGGCTGGCCATATCCTTAGGCTCCCAGCTCCCACCGTTTGTCTCAGGGCTCTCACACGGCCGTTACTGCCCAATTACTTGTCTGTACTGTACACAAGACTTACAGTGGGACATTGCTCTTCGAGGTTACCCTCCTCTTGGCTCAACAATCCACCTAGCATGTTCATATGCCGTCCAAAACACGCAGTGTTTGTGGACTGAGTAAAGAGATCTCTTGAGCATCTGTGCTTGAACTGCTGTAGTCTTACTAGGTTGGTTCAGTTAGGCAATATAGATGTCAGGCCAGTCTGAGGAGCATCATCTAGATTCTACAGCAAGAAGTGCAGTGTAAATGAGTTAGATGTTCCTTGTGACAATGATAATGATAAAAAAGTGAATCATTAAGAGGCAGCCTTTATTTGGTAATATCAGCAAAGAAGCTGTAAGCATTATAAGGCAGCAGTTAGTGCAAAGCATTGCTCCACAAGGGCTTCTAATGACACCCTTGCTCTGGGACTAGAAAGTGCAGTAACTCAAATACGCAGATGTCTGCCACTAATGGAGATGAACAGGGTGCCTTCTAGACCTGACAAGCAGCAGTTATTAGGAAGGATGGTAAGTTATTTTGATGGTCCTATGATACCAGCAAGTTGCTGGGAATACCCCCAAGCATATGCCCCAATACAGCACATGGATGGAGGTTTAGGGGTATGTGGGCTGGCTACCATCTCTGTATCTCCCTCTTTCTTTCTTTCTTTTCTCACTTTGCACTTGGGACCTTTTTCTCCCAATACTTCTGCAGTGTGAATCAGTCACTACCAGTTACCAAGTGGCGTGTTCTCACAACAGTCAGTAGAGTCCCTGTAGTAGATGTTTGTAGATTGGAGCTCTCCCACATCCACTGCCCTTTCCTTGAATAAGAGCATCCTGTTTCCTCCTGTGGACTCACTTTGCTCTCCCCCACCCCTCACTTACAACAAAATGTAAGGCTACCAAGTAGAAAGGGCCTGGCTGAGAGGGGCATCATAGAGAACAGAAATTGAGGACCAACTAAGACATGAACCATGAACCATGTGAGTCTGTTTTTTCCAAAGCCAGTTTTAATTGGGTCGTTATCACTTGCAATGAAGACTCATGACAGGAGGTAGGCATGGTGGGGCATCACTGTAATCCTAGTGGTAGGAAGGCTGACACAGGAGGAGACTTGTGCGCTAGAGCCTCACAGATACAGTAAAACATTGGTGGAGGTGGGGTGGGGGAGCTGCAGGGGGCGCCAGCTGATATAACTACCCTCCCTCCCTGTCCACAGCCAGTAAAACAAGATGTTCATATTTAGAGCTTTGGACTAGTATAGAAAGATTGAGAGCGGTACTCAGGGACACAGCATCTGACCTGATGCTGAATCACTGTTTTAGGAGCCAAAGCAGAGATTCGACTGCTCTCCTCCTTCCCCAAAGGAAACCACTTAAAGGGTCTACTCCAATAAAGCTGAACTTTTATCCAACTGTGGCCTCAGAAACTGGCAATATGGGCTATTGCAAAATCAGGGAGGTAGATACAAGTCTGAGGAGCAGGCCAAATACTTGGACATAGCCACCAACCCTTAGAGCAAAGAACGTGAGCTCCAGGAGTGGCACCATAGGCAGGTGTGAGCACAGAGGCGGAATTTGGCTAAAGCTGTTGGATCTGTACAGCTATAGCCAAATTTGAAGGGGCCCCTGCGCTTTGACTATGTGGGTCACACTGACACATCACAGGGAAGAGACTGAAAGTGCCAGTTCCTGCTAATGATGCATTCATAGGTAGAAATGGACAATTGGGCTTTGGAACACACTGATGGGCTAGTCACAATCTGGCAAGAGTATGTGGGCGATGGATGAGAAAAGCGACTCCCGTATGTGGTGGAACAGCATTCCAGTGGTTGGAACTGTCCCCTTCCCCAAAAACCTTTATAGTAACAAAGGGGGCTGAGCACAGAGCTTATGATAAGAATACTTAACTAGCATGACTAGGAACTTAGGTTCAGTTCCCATTACTGAAATAGGTAGAACCTAATCTGAAACAAGGGTCAACAGCATCCTTCTTAGAGTATAAGCCCTGAGACCAGAATTTTTGTCTCTCTTGGTCACCAAGCTTGGTCTCCTGAGCACTACCTGACATATACAGGTGTTGAACAGAGAGATACGGCTAAACATGGTGATACTAGACACCCGGGTCAGTGTCATACATTTCTCTAAGTGCACACTGATGTCCATTACCAGGTCAGAGCCTAAGGATCTGTTGTATTTACTCCTAGGTCTCATCAAGTGCTATCAGAGCCTGCTAGTATAGAAAGCTCTTGTGAAAGCAAAAAAAACTAACAGAGTAAAAAAATAGGATTTTCCTCCCAAAGTCTTTGTCCAGAACAATAGAAGATCTTATTCTGTATGCTGTTATATAACCCTCCAGAGCAAACCAGCCTTCCTACCTCATGGCAGACATTGCTAATTAATCCTTTTATTCTCTCTCTTTCAGTCAATATGTTACTTTGGAATCTTTCTCTAGATAAAACTCTTGGAAGTATGGCAAATGAACTATAATTCACACAAGGCACAGGACCATCCTTAGCCCTTTGTAAAATGGGAATGCAAGGGTTGGGATGAAAGATATTTCCTGTCTCTTTTAAGGCTCCCACTCAGGTCCCCCAAGGTTTGGTTGACACTTAGACCTATATTCCAGCTGCCCAGGAACCTGAAGTGCCAGACTCAGACACT